CAGCTCTCTTTTCTAGATAAGAATAGAAGAAAAACCATCTTGAGAGTAACAGTTTGCATCAAAATAACTGATTTCAAACACAAAAAACAAATACCTTGCAAGACTGATGTGCTGCACTCACTAAACTGCACGCTTCAGCTGCAGATTATTTGTAGAACTCCAGAGGAAATATGATTTTTCTCTCTACATTTCTTATTCAGTGATCACAACTCCCTTACTTGGTGATCTGTGATTCACTAAGGGATCTTTCCAGATGCCAGAAGCCATCACAGCATCTTAAAAGTTTATGCAATGTAAGAATTTGAATGAGAGAATTTAAGATGTGTCCATACCTCTGAATCAGATACAACATCCACATCATTTCCAACGGAGTCAATGAAGTCATAGGCCATCCCAAAGCTATTAAAAAAAACATTACAAGTTAAGACAGTTCCAGTGTGACATTACAGACCTGGCTTTTACAGCCATTATAACTTTGAATGGCTTCATAAAAAAAAAAAAAATACCCAGCTAAACATCCCCTAGTGTAATGAGACCTAAAATTAACAAAGTGATTTCATCTTCATATTCTGCACGTTTTTCAAATATATCTTTGGAAGTGCTTAGATCTAATTTCAGGACATATAGAACACTTAAAGTTTTGTGGAAATCAAGAAAAATCAGAGAAAATGAAGGATTCTTTTAACACTGAAAAGAAGAAGAGCTCTTCAAAGAGTTTCTCTTTAAGGCATTAAGCATATTAAAGACTTTAATTTTAGTAGCTCCAATTGAATTTTACCTCTTATTCACATTTTCCAGAACTGCCCTACATGTTGTAACAGACACATTGTCTCTTCCTCCACCCTTGTTAAGGAAATTACAAGGTACTTAAGCTGGAATATTTCAATGTACAGATCATTCTTTAACACAAATCCAGATACTACTAAAAAACCAAAACATACATGATGTACAAGTTATTCTTTTGTTATCAGCTTTGTAATACTGACACTAGAGAAAGAGATTGAACTGTCAGCCTCTGACAATCAGACTATCTAAAATAAACACGAAAAATTCATAAAGCCCTGAAGAACATGTTAGTCTGCTCTGAAAAGTACAGCTTCTAAAAGAGATGATGAGGATGTAAACACAGACCTTGAACAAACTGTTAAATTTCACTGACTGGCTGACTTGGTGTGAATTTGCTTGTTCAGCACAGGATTACAGCCTCCTGTTTATGAACACTCTGAACTCAACTCATTCAACAATTCAGCAAACACCCACACTGAAAGGTAACACTGCTTCTTGGGTGTGCCCCTCGTTTCACCTACAGCATGATAGAAATAGGAAATCCTGACATAAATACGAAATTTCATTTGCCATTAGTCAGGTCCAGTTTCTAAAGCTCCAGAAGAGCTATAAATTGGTTTCCAAGGGGAACCAGCCACATGTTCTATTTCACCTGTTATCAAAGGCAGAAGGGCTGGCTGAACCAGTCCAGTTTGATCTGGGCCAACAGGGAAGAACAAAAAGTCAGTTTGACTGTCTGAGGCAAGGTGTCAACATGCACGTGAACAAATAAACAAAAACATCTCTGTATGTTATGTAAATCATCACCATCATCAATCATTTACTAATGAGACAAGATCAGACCATGGAGGCAACAACTCAAGACGAAAAAGTAGAGGGAGAATGGTTAAGACAAAGGAATATGTAGTTGCTATGGTAAAACCTGCACTTTAAATGATATAGGATCCAAGTTCACAATCAGAATTGCCTTTAAAGACCTGGAAAAAAATAGGGGCTGCTGTCATTTACCTTGAGAAGGGTTTACTTTTCTTGCTGTTGCCCAGAATGGTTGTCCCTGCTGGTCCCAGCTTGGCACTCTCCCGTAACCAGTTGGCAGGAGGCAGTTTCAGGTCTGTTTTCTCCTGCAGACGGGCAAAGGCTGCCTGAGGAGGGGCTGAGGAGTATTTCACCACAGCACAGCTCTTCACCTCGTTGCCTCCGAGGAACAGCACCGACCCCTGGTTTTCAGAGAGAAATTAGCCTTCTACTTAAGTGTTGGCAATTAAAACTATCAGGCTTGTTCTATGGTAAGTTATTTTTAAGGCTAAATGAGCAAAATCCAGTCGTCACTTACCTTTCTCCAGCATATACAGTTTTCCAGTTATCCCAATTCCAATTCATGTCAAGCATAAGCTTCACTTTAGGAATTATCACAGAATCATTTAGGTTGGAAAAGACCTCCAAGATTACCAAGTCCAATCTGTGATGGACCACCACACTGTCACCCAGACCAGAGCACTGAGCAACACATCCAGTCTTTCCTTGGACACCTCCAGGGATGGGGACTCAGCCTGTTCCAACACTTGACAACCCCTTCCATGAAGGAATTCTTCCTGGTGTCCAACCTGAGCCTCTCCTGGCCCAGCCTGAGGCCGTTCCCTCTGCTCCTGTCCCTGTTCCCTGGAGCACAGCCCGACCCCCCCCGGCTGTCCCCTCCTGTCAGGAGCTGTGCAGAGCCACAAGGTCCCCCCTGATCCCCCTTTTCTCCAGGCTGAGCCCCTTCCCAGCTCCCTCAGCCTCTCCTGAGACTCCAGAACCTTCCCCAGCTCCATTCCCTGCCCTCACACACTCCAGCCCCTCAGTGTCTTTCCTGACACAACAGCCCCAGAACCAGCCCCAGGATGTGAGGCTGGACCCTCAGGGGAAAAAACCCTGTCCTGGTCCTGTGGCCACACTGTGGCTGATCCAAGCAGGTGACAGTGGCCTTCCTGCCCACCTGGACACACCGAGGTACGAGAATGAAGTGCCACCAAAGTCACAAAAATTAGTCAGAAAGGCTAAAACCAGCACGACTCCCCACTGAAGTTTGTGAAAGTAGGTGTCTATTAACACCAAGTGTTCCCTAACACCAACACTAAAGCTAAACAGGCTTCTACCTTATTATTATTAAATAATAATAAATTAAATAAGCTTCGTGTTTGCCTATTTCTTTTCAAACACGCAGCTGTCACCCGTGTGAGAGGAGCTTTGAACTAACACATGTCGAGGGAAAAACAGCTCCACAGGACACCACTTACGTAAATACAATGCACTTAAGCATAACAACAGCAACACTACTCGCAATTAACGCCTTAATCATAATTAGCGTGCTCCCTACAGCACTCCGGCCCTGACAAACTGGAAAGAGGATCAAAAACACCGCTCCAATTAAAATACCACTAGGGGATGAGTCTGTAGGCACCGCTCGACCCCCCCTCAGCCCCTCTACCTCACCTAGCACGGCCCCTCCTCAGCGCCGCTCACCTGCTTGGGCTCCTCGGCGTCTCCCCTCAGCGGGGCAGCGGCGCCCGCGCCGCAGGGCTCCTCCATGGTCCGGGAATGCTCCGGGAATGGAACCGGGAATGGAACCGGGAAGGGGCGGCGGGAGCGGAGCCGCTTCCCGGGGGCGTCCGGCCGGGAACCGCCGCCTCTCGCGAGACTTTTCGAGAAGGCGCGGGAAGGGCGGGCTCTGAGGGCGGCGCCGTGAGGGGCGGGAGGCGGCGGTGGCGGCGGCTCCGTAAGGGGCGGGTGTGGCGCTCCCAGCGGGGGTCAGGGAATCTTTGAGGTCGGTGAAATCCATGGCTAATGTGGAGCGATCCCTACTTTGTTCAGTTACACCAAAGCACGGAGTGTCACGTCCAGTCGTTCTTTAAGCACCTCCAGGGATGGGACTCCACTACCTCCCTTGGCAGCCCCTTCCAATTCTTGGCCACCCTTTCCATGAATAAATTTTCCCGAATCTCCAATCTAGATCTCTCCTGACACAGTTTGAGGCCATTCACGGCTGAGCCAGAAGGTCCCCCCGAGCCTCCTTTTCTCCAGGCTTGACTTTCCTGGATAACTGGGACCTTAATGAAACAAGCGAAAACTTGGTGATGGGCAGGATTGAAAATTGCAGTGTCCTGCCCTCTGTACACTGAGTTCAACAAAAGCTAAGCACTGATAGCTTTGGTAAGCAAGTAATTCCTAAATAGTGCCCATAGGATTTTTAATATTTATTATTTTCCGTGTAGATGGTATTCCTCATTCTCTGAAGCACAAGAGGCAGTACACTTCATGACTGGCCAGGGAGTACAAATGCTGACTGCCTCTTAAATGACATCTGTATCTATAGCCACATATATCTTTTAATGGATATGTACACACAGAGATAGATGATAGAATCACAGAATGGTTCGGGCTGGAAGGGAACATAAGATCATCCAGTGCCACCCCTGCCGTGGGCAGGGACACCTTCCTCTGTCCCAGGCTGCTCCAGCCTGGCCTTGGATATCTCCAGGGATCCAGGGGCAGCCACAGCTGCTCTGGGCACCTGTGCCAGGGCCTCCCACCCTCACAGGGAACGTTTTATTCCTAATATCCAATCTAAACCTAGTCTCTGTTAGTTTGAAGACAGAAAGAACACAAGTGTCATCTTCTTTACAGTCTGTCAAGGCAAAGGAGGCAAAGTCTTGGTTTGTGCTATACTGGCCAAGTGCGCTGCAGTTAAATGGTTGGGATGTTTCCAATCCAGCCCTTGAATTCAAAAGAAAAAAAAAATCCTGAAGATGCAGCCAGGTTTACTGTAAATATTGGGCGTGTGTTCAATTAAGATGTGTGTGTGTGGAAACCCGTTTTCAAAAGAGCAGGAAGTTGCATCTTAAAAATTCTATCTCTAATGTCCTTTGGGTTTTCCTCAAAACCACCTCTCCTTTCCCCACCCATTCCTATTCACGCTGTAAAGAGTCACTGAAGTGATTGTGCAGAACTGATTTGTTTGCAACATTCAATCCTCCGACGAGCTGTTCTTTCCCTGTCCCCTGCAGCACACGAGCAGGAGCAGCGCTGCTCTTGCTCGTGCGGATCTCTCTGAGACACCGTGGGGACTCTGAGGTCACAGGAGAGCGAGGGTTCCACAGCCCGCCCGCTCCCGGCCGCGTCTCCAGGGAACCGCGGTGGCGCTGGCAGAGTGACCGGAGTGGCAGTGACATCGAGCCATGGCTAAGGAAGGGTCGGAGAACAGCGGGGGGCACAGCAGCGACTGGGTAAGGGCCCAGCAGATGCCCCCGTGTCCCCCTCAGGGCTTCTTGATGCTTAAACTCTCAAAAAAAGCACCGTGCTAAGGGTGGCTTTGTCCTTTAGTCAGAAATTAGTCTCCCCATTCCTGAGGAATGAGGAAAGAGTGCCCTACGTATTCAGTGTGCAAAAGTTCTGCCTTGGTAACTAGCCCTGGCTGGATTTTCCCCCACCCCAGTTTTCCAGCAATGCTGGAGGTCTCTTATTTGATACTTAGCCCTGGTTGATTTTCCTTCTCTTCTGGAGAGCTCCAGCCAAGGTCTGCCTCAGTTCTCGCCTCCAGGAGAACACTGTGATCCCATCAGAAACGCTGGGCTGGGACATCTTGGCATCCCAGGGCACTGTGACACTCCTGGCACAGGCTTCTCCTCACTCTCTGAACCCTTTGGCCCGATGTTGGGTTGAGCTGTTCCCAAAAGTTTTGTGCTTTCAAACTTGTACTGCAGTAGGAGTAGCGTGGTGGGGAGGGGGGTTAGAAGGTCGTTGTTTTCCTTGGTGGTTATTGCTTTGTAAGCAGTTTTCAGAAAGTTCCTGGACGTTCTTGTCTTGAAGATTCCTAAAATTCTTGTCTGGTTATTTTATCTACGTTTGAACGTCTTTATGGTGGGGTTTGTGTTGGGTGTGTGGGAGACTCCTCATTTTTCCAGACGCCACTAGGTGCTGCTGCAATCCAAGTAATAAAAAATAAACGGGAAAATACCATTTTGCCCACATTTCTGATCAGATTTATTTGTTATTTGGGTTTTGTTGGTTTTGGGTTTGTGTTTTGTTCTGTTTTGTTTTGTTTTCAGTCGGCTTTTATTTTAAAGGGTCATAATCTTCATTATTTTCTAGTTCAGTCACGATGATGGGGCGCAGCTGGGCGAGCTGGAATCAGTAACAAGCGCTTCACTAAAGCATGTCCTGAACTCGGTAGCCGCTGTGGGCCAGGAGCACAGAATGCCGCTGCAATACAAAGCTCGGGTTCAGGTCAGTTCCTGCGGCAGCACAGCCGATTTTCGGAGCTCTTTTGCAAGTTGTCACTCGCTAAGTTGTGAGTAAGAACACACTCGGGGTCGTTAGAGGAGCAGTCACAGCGGGCTGGCAGACTTTGTGCCTCAGGGGATGGAGTGATTGCTGCCTGTGCTGCGGAAGAAACATATTTCCCTGTTACTCACTCATAATTTTAGTTGCTTCAAGTCCTGCTGTATTACTGCTGATTTTCTCTTTTATTACTGAGACGCCGAATACATTACGATCAATCTCAGCCCACAGCCTGTGTGTAAAGCCCTGTAAGAAGGTTTAATGGAAATATGATCAGCTGTTTGGCAATGAATGTTGGAAATTCAGTATATTCACACTAAGGAGTGTTCTTTTTGATCATTAAAAAGTTAGAAGCTCCTCATTTCAAACATTTTTAAGGCTTGATTAAAAATGGGATTTGTGAAAAATTTTGTGATGAAAGGAAATACGGTGTTTTTAAAAATCACAAGTATTTAAAATGTTGCAGTGTTGTAAGCACCTTTTCATGTCCTTATTTTATCATCACACTGAGCTTTGCTTTACCCACCCGCTTTGGGCACAGAACATTTTCTATTTTCATTTTCTATAAGCACAGCAGTTACAGTGGGTTCATTTCACTGGTTTTGCTATAGTGAAGGGCAGGAATGAAGGGCTTGGAAGGAATATTTAAAAGGGAAGCTTGGGACTGTGAAAAGGAGATTATACTGTAACATGTGTTAATATTACATCTGCCTTTCTGTGGAACATCTGGCCTTAGCCACTGCCTGAAAAGGGCAGGTTTTATCAACACACCAGTGTGACTTCACCTGAAGTTCAATGTCTTGTCTTTACCAGCCTTCCACTTTTATATAGAATTAAGGAAATTCTTGCCTGTAAATTGAGAATTAATCTGAGATCAGTGGGGAGAACATGAAGATGCACTAAAGGCTAAAATGGGACAATCTGGGGAAGTTTGTTTAGGCACTGGTAATAAACACTATTCCTGAAATGCTGAGATTGACATTTAGTTGCAGTAGCATATTTTGGTAAGAAATTTACAGATTCAGGAGGTGCTTATCTTTAAACACATGTATGAGAATGTATTTGTTGGATTTACTTATCCACTGAACTACAGTCTGGGTCAATCAGAATGAGACAAGTGAACTGGTAAATATACCTAAAAAAAGAGAATCTGCCTAGTAAACCAATTATTCTGAGATCTGACCATGGAGGAGCTGACCCCATGCAGGCACATTTTGTGTCTGGTGAATCTTCTTGCTGGATCAGGCCTCCAGTCACATTGATCTTTAGAACTCATTCAGGTTCCCCTATTCTTGAAACACTTCTTTTAGACTGGGTTGCATTAAAACTTCCTTTTCTGTTTGGAGTGGAATATCACAGTTGGGATATTGCACTGATAACGTTTAAAAAGTCAGATATGTTCAGTATTTCTAAAATAGCACTTATTTGCAGTTGTCTTTTTTTCTTCTGAAACTCTGGTTTCATTTAGAGACTGGATGAACATAATGTTAAAGAATGAGGTTATAAATCAGTTAAGCAATTAATACCTCTTCAACTTCCCCTGCAACAAGCAGTGTCCATGACATTCAGTTCATAAATCACAGACTAATTCAGTTTTGAGGTCCCTTTTGTAGTTTATTTTAATTAGCTCTAGGCCTACTACTAAATCAAGCAAAGGCAATCCTGATATATATGTAGCACTTTGCTGCTTTGCAGACAGAATGTATCATTTCTTATTTGAAAATTCACACTTTTATATTAATCATGTATATATTCAGCAAGTCCTCCTGGTCATTTTATTAAAAAAAATAAAAAGTCCACATTACCCCTATAAAATCATGTGCAGGTGAATATTTAACATAGGAGTATGATTCTGTGCTAGAACAAAGGCAGCTGTAATCTCACAATATAAGAACAAAGACTGATAGACTCCAAACAGAGTTTAATTTTTATTTTTTTGCTATAATTTCTTTTCTTGCAGAAAGCAGGAAACAACAATTTCCCATTCTCTTCTCATGACAACAGACATGACATCTGCAATGCAGTCGAGTATTTTGACCTGGTAAGTACCCAGCAGTGAGACAAATCAAGCAACTTCAGAGCTTTTGGTCTGCCAGAGATCAAACACAGCATCTTTTAATGGATGCTAAAAAAAAATATAATGAATGCGAAAACTGTGAGCAGAGAAAAACGTAAACAGAAAAGAAAAATACACTTTCTATTAGTAGAGGGCTGGGACATCTCTGGGACTGTCACAGATGTGCAGCAGCACATACAGTCATTGAGAAAGGCACGATTCAAAGGGAAGCAAAAAGCCATGATTTGGGTCTCTGACATTTTCTAATATTCCTGTTTTGGTTTTGTACCCAGTTAAATGTCCTGTTGGTCTGCTCTAAGTGATGTGCCTTGCAATGAATTTTTGTAGATATCTCAGCAACTTCTAATTTGCAGTCCCAAATATTTTGTTCAGACTCATCTTTATTATAAATTTAAACAGAATCCATAGGATACCCTCAGTATATCTCAAGAATGCATTCTTTAAATTCTTTACAATACGCCTGTTTAAATGTATGCTGCAGAAGCCACAACTTTGACTAGAATTAAATTTTTTTTTTTTTTTGCTTTTCTCTGTGGGCAACAGTTTCATGTTCTTCCATTCCCCTTAGATTGTTGGTATTATTCCAGGCAGCAAAAGAAATCGTGCAGTTCACAGGATAATGAGTAAAGGAGGAAGCAGTGAATTGTGATATAGGGAGTTTGTCTGATTTTGGGCTCTGTCAGGCCTAGACTTTTTGGAATTCATTATTCACTGAGTAACCTCAATTTCTGTGCGCTTTGGGCAGTGTCTCATTGTTTTAGAGATACTGATCAACCATAATTCCAGCTAAATTTCCTGTGAGCTGTGGAGTGTGAAAATCAGGCTCTGTTTCTCTGTGTTTGGACACACAAGGGATAGCACTGAAGATTCAGATTTCATGGTCTGTCTCAGTTTCTTTATTGCAGTCCAAACCTAGAATTATTAACCTATTTCTTTGGGTGTCTCTGAAGATTAATTTAGCCGGGTGTAGCTAAATAGCCTTGAGTAGCTGGTGTGCTACAGAAATGCAAAGTAAAAGTGGTTTATTAGCACTGAGGGGTGGAAGGTCAGCAGATTTCCCATTATATATGCAACCAAAAATGTTCATACAGGCAAGTCTGACAATATTATTTTTAACTTGCTAAAGGTCGACCGTGAGTTCTTGCAATCACTGTGGTAACAGCTTCGTTCACTTCCCAGTGGGGTAGTGACTGTTACAAGATTCATCTGTGAAGCTGTGACTGGAAGTCATATGGTTGCATGAATTTTTCTTTCCTTTTTATTCCCGTAGGGCATGGGTGTGAGGAAGTTGGATCCAGAGAAGCAGAGACAGAACTCCCACAACTTCTTCGAGTGGGCTCGTGCGCCAGGCCGGAGCAGCAGCGAAGGTTTCGTCACCGTGTACCAGAGCACGTTTGTGTCAGATCAGAGCCCTGGAAAGGAGGAGCAGAACCACAGGCGCTACCCCAAACACCACACCCAGAGCCACAGCGACCACCAAGAGAGCTCCAGCACGCCTGCTCCTGAGGATGAGAAAGCCCTGAAGCCACGTAAGACATCTTAATCAAGAACACCTCGGGAACATCCACCGAGCAAATCTGAACTTTCACTACTCAAAACAGCGGTGAAAGAATAAACACTCATGTAAAGTGCACGTGGCAGTACGGTTGAGAGTTCATTCCCTTACATTGCTCTGAAAACATACGTTTCTAGAAAACCTTTAAAGAGGAGGAGCATTATAAGGAAAAACAAGATTGTGCATAATTTAGACATATGTCTGCTAGCAGAACAGAGATGGGGATTGTGCTTGTGTTACCTGATACTGGTTGACCCTCATCTTGATACAAAAGCTCCTTCAGCTTCTGAATCAGTGGCAGGGCTGTACCTCAGGCAGCTGACAGCACCTGCATTGACACAGGAGCATAATGGACCTGGATCCTTGAGGGATTACCACAGCAGGGAGCCAAACCCCTGTGTGTTCAGGCAAGAGAGAAACATTTCTGAAAGGTTTCATGGCTGAGAAGGCAGGTGACCAGCCATTAGAGAAAGTAGATAAAAAAGAAGCTGTGCATTAGATTGCTGTGCAAAATAAGTGTCCTGTTTGGTTATAGCACAGCAGTTGTAGAATTGAAAAAAGAAAGACTGTTGTGAACAACATTTGTGCACTCAAAAATTTGATTTATGGCTGTAAGGGGAAAAAACCTCAAGCTGAAGTGAAAGGCTGCATGGAGGTTTGAGTTTGGGGTGGACTGGATCTTAAAAAGAACTCATGATTTTATAGTTACATGTCCCCAAGGAAGATAATTCAAACCCAATCCTCTTAAGCACTCTGCTCCCAGAATATTCTCTGATGTTAGGATGTGGCAGGCAGTTGAGTCACACCTAGAGTCAGATCTCCAGATGATGTGTTTTCCTCTTCTGGATCATTTCCATTAATATCAATAAAATAATAAGCTAAGCTATGTGTCTTAAAATATCCTACAAATAAGCTTGTTGCTATGCAAAATAATGTTGACTAAAAAAAATTCGATCATAAGTTTATTAGATAATTTCCTTTTTTTACAAGATAAATGGACAAATAAACCCTTGACCCTTAGAATTCCCTGCATTGTAAGAGCTGCCTTGAACATGAGCTCAGTTAAGAAATGACATTTCTGCCTTTCAGTGAACAGATGCATTTTTTGGTATCAGCAAGCAGTGGCTGAAGGCCTTTTTGTGTGCCATCAAAACAGATGGGATTAGATTCCCCAAACGTGTGGCATGTTTATTAGCACATGTTGAAATAATAAACCCATTTTCTTAATGGAGTCCCCCCTGTTACAGTTCTTGGGGTGCCTCACAACACATCAAAATCCAAAACATCAATGAACAATATAAAACCAAATAAAAAGCCAAGTAACATAGTGCTATTAAAAAGAATTGCATTTTCTCAAAGTAAAGACAGCCTGCCTGACAGCTCCAGAGTCAGAATTTCCAGAGCTTTAGCCAACAGTTTCATCCCCAGAAAGTTCTGATTCAGAACTGAAGTGTGTGCCAATCACATGGTGAATGAAGTGCCCCATGCTGTTTGGCAAACTCCAAAGGGCAATCTTGGACCTCCATCAGAAGGAAGGAACACATTCTTGCTCCATTAGTAATGTTTATCTGTGGTTTAGCATTACAACTGGATGTGGTGAAATAAATTGCTGGAGTTTGTTATGCCTTAAGACACCAATAGAAACACTCCAGATTTCTTTTCTCACCCTCTTTTTCTTTTTTTTTCTTCCCATTTTGGTTAAAATGTGGCTTAAAAAAGGAAAAAAAAAGGTACCTGTGGATTAATACATATTTTCAACTATATTGTAATAAAGATTGCAGAGGAGAAACTGAAGAGATCATGACACCCTTATAAACTGAAATACACTGTGGTGGGTTGAATAAAACAGGTGATTCCCACACATCTCACGCTCTGCCAGTGTTTCTTGGGTAAATAACAGGAGACACAATACACTGAATTTGGAAATGAATAATGAATTCCTCAGATAAATTTGTGTATTTTCAATAAAAACCGTCAGCTTGTTTACTCTTGTGATGATAATGTCTCTGTGAGGAAGGTCCTGTTAAAACATTTTTGAACATGGATTTTCTTTTGTTTGTTTTTTTGGGAATGGAAGAAATTGAAATAAGGCTGATAACTCCCCTGAAATTTTCTGGTCAGTGCAGGAAAGGAAAACTCCCTTGGCTGGGAGTTCACTAGGATCAGATGGGTGTAGGTAGGCTCAGCAGAATGATCAGGCTATGGGTTAAACCAGCCAAATACTGTTCTAAGCGCTGCTGATAAGGATGGACTTATTTTGTGCATTGTTATATTTAAAAAAAAAAACAACAAACCCAAACACTCTCTTTACAGAAACAACAGGCTTCATCCTCTAATCCTTTCCAAGGAGTATTGGTTTTTTCTCTCTTTTTTCTCCAGAGCTTGCATCAATGCAGGGACTGCCTATGCAGCATTTTTAGGAAATCTTTCTTGTGTTAATTTAAAAGTGTTTCCAGTGTGTTACTTAAATTCACAGAACTCAAACAAAATCAATTTTAAAAAGTTAAACCAGAGGGCTGAACAGGAAATGGGCACGGCCCCAGGGCTGCCACAGCTCCAGGAGGGTTTGGACAAGGCTCTCAGGCACAGGGTGGGATGGTTGGGGTGTCTGTGCAGGGCCAGGAGCTGGCCTGATGATCCCTGTGGGACCTTCCTGCTCAGATTATTCTGTGATTCTGTGATTAACAGAGCTGAGCTGCAGAGTAACACCTTTGCCACTGAAGTTTCCACGTCCAGCTGAAGCCCCTTGGTTCTCAGGTGGCTGCTGGAGCTGTGCTGGGTGACAGTGTTATGTTCACTTCTTTAAACTGTGCTCGGTTTTCTTTTCCTTCTTTCTGTCCTGATTGCTGATAACGAGATGTGAGGACATGGTGTCCCTCAAAGCTGCTGTTGCTCCGCCTGTGATGCCCCTGGTGAGCTGCATGTCCCCTTTTATAGCTGTGTCATTTGTGAGGTGTTGTGACCAATGAAATGCTGTTTACAGTCACTAGAGACCCTGGTGTTCTGTGAGAGCACACTGGGTTTGTACAATAGGAGGCAAAATGGAAATTTTGTCTTTTGTTTACTTGGTGTCTAAAGACTTAAAGAAGTCCTTAGAGCTGGGGCTGTGGGAGCACTGCAAGGGGGAGTTCTGCTGCTGCTGGAGCTGGTAATTCAGTGGGGATGCAGCAGTTTGACTCCCAAGTCATCTGCTGTTAATCTAATCACTGTGTTCATAATCTAATCACTCCATGTCGCTGAAATGTTGTTCCTTAGCTTGTACTCTCAAGGTTAGAGTGAAGAAACTTGATGTGGCACTGGAGGTGAGTCCATTTCCTTCCCTGTGCTGCACAGTTACACAGTGACAATTCTGTCCCAGCTCTGCTTAAACCCAAAGCTGATGTTCATTTATTTACAGCGATATGGTTCATGTGTGGACAATATTAAGCTTCTTTAAATACTCTTTTACTGGTTTAACATTTCCCTAACTGAGGAAAGTATTGGTATTACTGTGGTGGTGCTGATGTTGAACCAAGAGTGCAGGCCTGTATCTAATGGAAATGTTTATGCTGATACACTGGCCACACTGGCTGGCAAGAAATAAAATTTCTGAAATTGAGTAGAAACTTCTTAGGCATCTCTGTCTTCAAGCCACAGTACACAAACATCATTATTATTATTATTATTATTATTATTATTATTATTAATTTTCCTTAAGACTCTCCTGCTGCTGCCACCTTATCTAAGGAGCAGTAGATGGCAAGGACAGAGACCCATTCCATTCTGGAGTGGGAAAGAACTATACGGAGCTGCCTCATCCCAAATTTCTTGGTTTATTCCTGCTTCCCCAACAAAGTAATAAAATAACTAGCTGTTAAAATGTCATCTGTGGAATATCTAATTAAAGGGAAGTCCATTCAACAGGGAAGCAATCATAACTGACCTTAAATTGAGTGTTTAGACATAGTGGGTGTGAGTGAACCAGTAAAACACCCAATTTATGATTTGGACTGCTGCTTTTATGAAGATCACGTTACCTCTTATCTGGTCAAGCTTGTTATTCTTCAGAATATTCACCTGAAAGTGAAATATTTCAAACTGTCATTTTTGAAATGTGGTGTACAGAAAAAAATGTAGTTTGAAACAGGTAAGTTTAATTCAAACAGAAGCAAAGAAGTGCTTGGAAGAGACCTCTGGGACTGCAAGGACTGGAACTCAGGAATTCAGGAATGCCTGCTCACAGGTGAGTGCCCAGCCCCTGAACCAGGGAAAACCCTGTGCTTTCTCACAAACTGTTTAACTGTTGCAAACAAAATGCAGCAGCTCTGGCAGACCAGGTAGAGGGTGCTGGTTTTCCAGGTTGCATGAACCAGTTCAGAAAATCAGAAGAGTCTCAGGAATTTTAATTTCTTTTCTTTTAATTCCTTATGCTGTGGGATATGTAGAAATAGTGCTCACAGAGCACTACTTCAGGAATTTTAATTCCTTTTCTTTTAATTCCTTAAATTAAATTTCTTTTAATTCCTTATGCTGTGGGATATGTAGAAATAGTGCTCACAGAGCACTACTCTAATAGCAACAAGTATGTATTTTTGTGATCCTTTTCGATATTCTGTGGAATGACAGATTTTGTAACTGAAACAATACTATGAAAACAGATTTAAAATGAAGGTCTCCTGTCCCTCTCTCACCCCACACCCCCAAAAAGGAAGGTGGTGTTTAGACTGCCCAGTACATTCCAGCACCTACAAATGGCAATGTTAATATGCAAACAGAGCAGCACGAGTGTCAAGTCCTGTGCCCAGATGTAAACTGCTGTGGGCTCAGGCCCTGTGGTATTAACCAGACACTCAAATGGCATCGTAGGCATGCATTAATGACCCTAAGTGACCCTCCTCCTCTGATTGCTTAATTAATCAATGGCCTAGTGGCTCATTGGCAGGGCTCTTCCAAGCTGTGTCTCCCCTCACAGGGAAATCAGATGCTATGTGGCTCTGTCTACTTATGGG